ACTGCTGCCAATTTTGAATTACCATCAGCAAAATGTTCCTTCCAGGTAATACTAAGGATATTGTTAGATAATTTCCTCATTTTCTTCAGTAATATTTATTTTGTATAGAGATGGCTATCTTCCAAAGTTCTTGGCATAGAGTAGTGAATGTTGCCCCCAGTGCTACAGTAGTGGGGAGAAACATTACAATTGGTATTCTGTCAGTACTCAGCAGTCTTGTTTTTGCCAATATTTCCCATGCAACGTGGACTACTTCCTTCAATAGCATCAGCTCTTGATAATATATTACCTCTTGAAATTGTTTACCACTGACATTTAATTTTTGATACAGTGATTCAATGAGTTTTTGGTACAATGACTCTTAAGCATCTTCTTTTGATGCTTACTGCATTTTTTAGTTCAATATTTTACCCACATAATTCTTAATAATTAAAACTCAAAGTTTAATTTTTCTTTCTTTCTATCTTTTTTTTTTAGGGGATAGTGGAGATGCAGTCTCACACTCCCACAAAGTATGCAGTCAAGTTTCCCACTTGAGGGGGAATTGCAGGGGTTTGCATATCTGGAGGGCAATGAACAAGGATCACCCTGGGAAAACCACCCTCCTGACCATGGTGTCACCCCTGCCAGGTAAGTATCAAGGCTTAATTTTGGGGTCAGTTCTTTCAGTCTGAGAAATGCTGAGTGTGTTCTTCTCTTTTGTTTTTCTAATTCCAAGTCTTTGCACACATGTTTATAATATTTTTTAACTTTGATGTGTCTTTAAAATTTTTCTGTTCTATTTACTTGCTCATTTCTTCCTTTTGCTTTAATTTCTGTATGTTCAAGAGCAAATTTCATAGTCTCTTCTGACTCCACTTTGGTCTTTATGCTTTTTTCCCCCCAATTAATGGTGTTTGGCTCTCCTTATGTTTAATGTTCTTGACATCATCCCAAAACTCATCTGGTCTTCCTTTACTACTATTCAGTGTTTCAATCTACTTTTGAAGACTTTTAAATTCCAGTAGCATATACTCAAGATATTTTGGCTCTATTAGACTTGTTTGGGTCTTCTTCAACATCAGCTTGAACGTGCATATAAGTAATTTCTGTTTATATCCAAAGTTGGCCCAAGACATATTGTGGGTGTGGCTATTGAACTTCTCCATTGTATCTTTTCACTAAAATAATCAGTTTGATTCCTTTTCTTCCTTCTTGCAAGATCCATGTATACAGCTGAAACTTATGTTGGTGAAAAATGGTGTTTGCAATAGACATGTGATCTTAAAAAATTCCGTCATACAATTTCCAGTTGCATTTCTATTACTAAGACCATATTTTCTCACTACTAATCCTTTCTCTTTGCTTTATACATTCTATTTAATTCTTAAAAATTCCAATTATCCTACATTCATATTTAGCATATTCCATATTCTGAAAAATGATTATTGGCAGGTGCTTCTTTACACATTTTGAGTCATGTCCCATTTGTAAATGAAGGGCTGAACGTTTTAAACCAAATGTCATTAAAGTCAACTCTAATTTGAGGAGGCATCTCATCCTCAGTGATATTTGGATAGCCTACCAACCTATGAGCTTATCTTCTGGCACCAGACAATATTTTATTGCTACTGATCATGTTTTCAGTGGCCTATTTTTCACAAGTGGACCACTTCCTCCTCCTTCTAACTTTGAGTATGGAAGATCTGCTGAAACCTGTGCATCATGGAATTCACTGTGTGGTAGTTACATCAATTTGTGTCAACTTGAAGTTAGGGGTGGAGTCTAACCTGTCAATCAGGTTATAGTCTGATGGTGCCTCCTTGTGGGCATAACCTCCTCATAAGGAGGGTCCTGGGGAATGCCACCCCTACCCCCTCTGCTTCACCTTCCTGTTGTTGAGTCACTCGGAGAGCTGCTGGAGACACGGCC